CTCCCCTTTCTCCGGACGAACACTTCAAATTCTGTTCGTCACGATCATAGCCATAATAAGATTAGGCTAATTACGTTTATGCACTTAGGAAAAGCGGATCAGTCAGACTCTATTCGCGCACGCAAAGCGGTTACGTAGCGAGTGGACTCTACTAATCTTGTTATTTTGTTTGGTTTAGGGTAAATTTGCCATTGTGCAGTGAACCGTATAATGCGTAAGTACATGTTCGCGAATATGCTATTGAATATTAACTAGCGGTAAACAAACAAAACCGCAAAATAATTACGAAGAATAATAAACGAGTGACGAGCTATTAAAGCGTTCGCGGAGATAGCGATCTTTCGTTCTAAAAACTGAAATTATTTGATAAAAATATTCGCGTATCTTTCGCGGGATATCTCGTCACTTGTCACTTACCGCTTCCGTGTGTACCGGATGTGCGGCGAACAGCAGCCCGGCGAGGGCTGCGAATCCTGGTCGAAGTGCAGCTACCACGAGACTCACTCTGGTGACCAAGATGCACGCGGCGGCGTGTAAGGCGACGTTCGTGGCGTGATACCACATGGGACTCAAACCCGCCATCAAGTAGTTCAACCTAAAATCAATTCAAGCGGAACCTATATTAGGTATATTGACAAGTCGCTGATATGGGGCACGTTCAAAAATATCTCGAGTCAATATAGAAAAATTATGCGGTATTTTAGTTAAACTGGATGAGTAACAGATCACAAGTGGTAGCAAGCTATTCTATTAGCTCGTTAAATTAAGCTAAGAAAAGAAAATAATACCGGATGTATATTTTTAAGTAACGGAAATTAATTAAAGAAATTTATTAAATTTATTTAGAAGATGTTCAAATATTCGATATAAATGATAATTGACGTTTTGGAAACACGACATTGCATATTTAATTTAAATGACATTTCTGCAATATTGAATAAATATAAACTGACTGTATTATTATATTGTCAATTCGTGTGTATGGTACAAGTATAATCAATAAAGTAAAGCAAAAATTAGAATGCCTTTGTTGCATAGAGCGCAATTTCTGCATCAAAGGACCACTCTGCGACATCTACACAAAATCATTCTTACTTGTAAGAAAGGAGACAAATTTCATTGTTACCGGATACAAAGAAACGCCGGAAGATAAATCCTGTCACCTTTTTGTTTATGAGCACAACGCGGATTTCAAACGCGGGCGTGACGTAGTTTCCACGAAAATCCGCTTAAGTCGGCCGAAGTAATCGGATTTTAGAAAACCATTCCGACCGTTCCCTTTTCGCCGCAACTAACCGAGGGATGCCATTTTCTTTGAGCAGATTAAAGTAACTGATGTTATATATTCGCCCGTTAACAAACATAATATCGACCTTTGATACGCGCGTACAAAAATCGCATATCAAATTATCTCTCATTCTTGTTCCATCGAGTCGTTTCGTTAATCGCTTAGAAATTATTCGCCACCACGAAACAACAGGCGAGACTGAAGAAATAAGACCGACGTAAAGAACATAGAAGAGTATATGTGAATTGCCGTGCCGACATCGAGATGAAAACAAACACGGTAGTTGCTGACGCAGTCGAGCTATAATTTTGGAAGCCTGCCGGCAGCATAAGTTCGACGCCCTCGGAGAACCTGCGCTTGGCTCGTTTCCAGGTGTCAAGGATCATAGGTTGTCGGAGGCGTATCCTGTCTCCTCCTTGGCTCTAGATCAAGCAAAAAGCGCGCATACGTCGATCGCAGGATAGAGCGCAGATTTCACCGCGAAGCTACTTATATTTACAAGTTATTATCCAATTCAGTTATTATTCTGTATATTCATTCTTTTTATTATCCAATAAATTAAAACGAACGGTGCAAATTTGCTTTGCGAGATGACTGATTAAATAAGAATTTTATCGACGCTCTCAAGTTTCGCTTAAAAATCAACACGCGGACCGCACTTTCGCATTTATATCTACTTACTAACAAAGTTTATTGTTTCTCTGCCGCATCCACGGTTTGCAAGTTTCTGGTATACGCAACTACTGGAAGTACAGAGTATGAGGGCTGTATGCTTAGGAGCTTCTTGTTTGTTCTAACTGGTTTCTCCAAGCACAACGGCGTGCGCCTGCATTCCTGTTATGGAATGAAGTACGTCGTATTGCAGCGTCGATATTACGTTATCACACTTGGATAATAACCAGACATTAACATATTTTGCTATCGGTGATGCAAAATTAAGTCGATGAAAATAATTATGTCAATGTGGCAATTTTTTTCGATTTCTGTACGTATATCGATATTATTTAACAAACAATACATAAATATTTTAACAGCTGATGTCTGTCTTCGATCTGAAAAAACACGGAGATTAATCGCCGTACATTACAAACGTCTCTATTTCCAGCCTCATTCTTCTTCGCTCTTTGCGTATAATCATTTATATTTTTCCCCTGAAGAATTCTGTAACGCAATTTGTCTTCGTCGGCACAACTTTCTACTCTACGTGAATTTCTCCTCTCATATCTTTTATTCATGTCATCATTGAAGCTCGCTCAGACGCACAAAAGAGAGCAAAAAATAATTACAGACTGAAAAAAAATAATTACAGACTCTCTTTATCTATGCGCAAACAACGCGGAAATTATTAACTTGAATATCTGCTTTTGGAATATCTTATTTCATATAATGAGAGATATGTATGTATATTTATATTATATAAACCAGTAATTATATACACTTATGTACATACTACTGTTAAGACTGTTAATAATAAAATAATAAAACTTATATAAAATCTTTATTAATACACTTCTTAATTCAAAGATAATAAAATATAAACATTTTCATGTAACTAAAAAAAACTGTCGCTGAACTGAGAAAACTTAATTTAATACATTTAGAAATGACACAGCTTTCTTCCAAAATAAAAAAATCATTTGTGTTTCCAGGTCGTAATTACTCATTTAACCAATTTAAATTTAATCGGCTTTGTTCCTAAACGACGCTTCCTTGAGAAACAAACTTGACTTTTGCAGTTTCTGTCCCATATTGCCATCTGAATTATTTTAAATTAACTATATTATTATCGTTACGGCCGTTGCCCCTTATTATTGTATAATAATTATTATTAATGTATTAATACATTCGATATCCTTACATTGTATCAAATATAATAGATAACATAAATTATAAATTTTGATGTTAAATTATTTGATTATGTGTTGAAAGCATGAAAAGCTATAAAATATCGCTATACACATGAAAAATATTACACATTTGTTTTATATAACAGTTATTCTTTCTAAAAAAATATTTTATAATTGGATTGCATATATAATATGCATTTTTGCATTTTCGAACTAAAATTACACTGACGATATAACCATCAAAAGTTTCAAAACAGCAGTAGTATGACGAAGTAGAACGGTTGCTCGTATCAGACCACAGCGGGACCTGATACTAACTGTCTGACCGCAGGTACGCTCTTACTACTGGCTAACCACGACCGGTTCTATTACGACTGTTTGACCACACCGGCCCGTAACTACTGGCCAGCCGCAGAGCGCGATCAATACTTATTCCCACCGTTTCGTCATTATCACTTTTGCGTTTGTGTTTCGGAACGAAACGAACGGCTCTCGCGCCAGTTAAATGAAAGGCTTTAATCACGGAGAGACCTCTGAAATCGGACACTCATTTTCCCAGAATAACGCGCCCGTGAAGACATCGCCTCGCGCGCAGAAACTCGTGTTGCACGAGTCGCACGGCGAAGATCAGCATCCTGAAAAGAAAATCTTGGCGAAGTTCCGGCACGTAATTAACTAATGAAGTTTAGTCCGTCACTGTAAAGATGAATCGCCGAGCGAGCTTTTCGAGGAAATGCTCAGCGTTGGGCCTCTTCAAAGGACTTCATACTTCCCTAAAGACGTCGCATCGTAAAAAGTCGAAAGATCGGACTCTTCGTAACGAGGTATTAAAATCTTGAACGATGTCGTTAAATCACGCTGGCTTAGTTTACCCTCTTTCCCCTCCTTACTATGTCGCTGAAGACTGTTCCATCTTTTCGTCTTGTTAATATCCTCTTTCGCTTTCACGAAAGAGAAGTACACCGCCCGTATGTCACGAAGTTCTATCATTATTAAATCTACCTAGAAATATGTCAGCGTATAGAAAGGGCTAAAAGGAAATTTTCATTAATTATAATAACATTTTATATAATATATTTTGATATTCTTTTTCGCGCTTCTCAGAGAAAATAAAAAACTCTTTTAATCTTCTATAAAATATTCAAAGGCGATTTTTTTAACAATCACGCACGTATTTCGAATCTCATTTCCTTTTCGACGATCATGTTGAGCTCTAACTTTGCTGGGGACTATCGTTTGCAGCCACAAGACAAAGGCATGATGATAGAGCATCGTAGGATGCCATTCGGGCTCAATCGTGCGCGGAATATAGCAGCCAAGATACCGATTTCGACTCTCCAGTGCTGCTTCAGTGATTTAAGGGACTGGCTAACCCGTACTTCCAGTCACGTTCCTCCCGGCAAAGTGTCCAACGAAATAAATCACGGACACGTCGGGACTTCGATCTCTGTTGTGCGCACGAAAAAATTTGGACACGTTAGAAGACACCGATCGATATCCACGAGATATTGCCCGCCCTAAGACGTGCTTTTATGTTCAAGGGATACATTTATGTCTTCTTGCAATTCTTATAAACGTGAGCTTTTATCCGCCGTTATTTTCTTCCTTATCTTCTTTTCGATTCTAATATTCGAAATAGAAATATGACTATGTATGCATGTACGCGCGCGCGTGTATATGTGTGTGTATGTGTGTCATGCGATATCGCGATCTGAAAGATCGAATGGCAAGAGACTGTCATGGACAATCAATTATCTTCTATTGGTCTTCTTTTGTTTCTCAAACCCTGCACTTTCTCCAGTCTTACATAGGTGATCCGCTTACACAGCCACGCGGATCTGATAATGGTATGAATTACGACCGCTTATACTCCTTGAATGGTGCCATATATCAACGGACCATCCCCATTCCTTTTCCAGATTGTATATTGGAAAATATGGTGTACCTACGTCGAACATGATGAAGGACTTTCTGAGAAAGACCATGCATCAGTTACCTAGCTAATATCTTGTAATCATTAAGCCGCACATCCCTATCCAGATTGCGCCTCAAAATTACATTATCGATCGAAGTAACTATATTCCCATTTTATATATGTAATATGTTAAATTATTTTATATATAAAACTTAATTTGTATTTTTACTTAGCATTGTAACAAAACGTATAGATTTTATATTAAACTTGTGAGAAAAAAGACATACGCTACAACTGTTACAACTTCACGTGTTACTGTAAAAAAAAGTTTATTTGAAAATATTCCTTGTGTATTCAGTAAATAACGTGTATAGAAAACAAAAAAGCAACAAAAAGATACTGTTGATTGACACTGCGGACAATTCTAGATAGCAATAGGATAGTTTTAAAGGGTAATTTGGAATTGTGCCACCAATCAATGGTGTGCGACGTAGCTGATATCGCTAAGCGAAAATCCGACTTACGGCTCGTTCCAAATCCCTTGT